GTCTGACCTCACTATCGACACAGCAGCTGATGTACCGTGTATATCAGCGTCTTTTATTAAATCGCATCCAGTCCTGCAACGTTTACCTCTGAAACCTGTGCCTCCTGGCGCAATTCAGTTGAACAGTGCAGGTGGCTCAGCGTTAGAAATCCTAGGATACATCCGTTTTAAGCTCACACTGGGAGATATCACACTACCAGTGGAGGCCCTCGTGTTGCCCAACCTAGGTCCGGATAAGATGTTGCTCGATAATAGCATTATGAATGCCTTTGGTGCCGTCCTTGATTGGTGCGGTGAGCAACTTTCATTTCAATATTCAACACGAAAAATTCCGGCAACTCACAGACGTACGAATATAATAGTCAAGTGGACACCAATAATGATGCCCCAGCGCAAATTTCCATAGTGACGCTTGACCCATCGATAGGAGCGGTGCCCGTATATCTCTCTAAGAGATTATGCATCCCCCCCGAAAGTGAAATGGCAGTAGACGTCGTGACAGAACACGCACCACAGGCAAACACGCCTGCGTTGGTCGAGCCACGGATCGTCACTGCCCACGACATCGAAACGTCTGAAAATATACCCGAAGCGTTCCGTACAATCGTAGTCGCTAGAACGGTATGCAATTGGTCAGCAAAGGACAAGTCCGCTGCAGTACAAGTTGCTAATCCATCCAAACGACACGTTCACATTGCACGCGACACTATTTTGGGGTACATTTCGCCAGTAAAATCGGTTGCCGATAAAACAGTTAGCGCTGTCAATAGCGACCAAACCACATTCCGACACAAACGGGACGAGTTGAAACGAGCCATGGAAAAAGCGTTCACGAACACTACATTTACTCCTCAACAATGCTCGCAGGTCTTGGATATAACCGTAATGTGTTTTCATTATCTCCCAAGGAGCTCGGGAAATGCAGGATAGCCAAGGCAGATTTTCCGCTAGAACCAGGCACTAAACCAGTCGATCGTGCTCCCTATCGTACTAATCCTAGAGCGCAAGAAGTTATCGACAAGTGTGTGGAACAAATGGAAGACGAGGAGATTATTGAACAGAGACCCAGTTCATGGGGATCTGCTGTTACCATCGTAGCAAAAGCTGATGGCACTCCTCGATTCTGCGTTGACTACCGCTCTACTATTAACAAGAGTTTAATTCGAAAATCTTGGCCCATGCCAGATATAGAATCCCATTTTGATACCGTTGGAGGTGCAAAATTTATTACTGTCTGCGATTTTCAGTCAGCCTACCACCAAATTGAAGTAGACGAAGCAGAACAAGAAAAGACCGCTTTTGTGACACACAAAGGGAAATGGGTTTTCAAACGCCTCCCCTTCGGAATTGCGAATGCTCCTTTTCTGTTTGCCCGTATGATGTCTCTGGCATTCTCTCACTTCGGACCACGCAGTGGACTTTTGGTGTACATGGACGACATTATTTGCTGCAGCTCAAATTGGGAGAGCCATCTAACCTTTTAGAAAGCATGCTCCAAGCACTCCAAGCGGCCGGTCTTACCTTGAAACCCTCCAAAGTACAATTTGGACCACAGGAAGTAAAATACCTGGGGCACATACTGTCTGCAAAAGGGATTCGCATTGGGGAAGATCGTATACAATCTATTATCGACTTGCCTGTACCCAAAACAATCAAAGCACTTCGCTCAGTATTGGGAATGGTTAACTATGTGAGGAAATTTATACCCGACCTTTCTACGGTCATCGCACCGCTAGGCGAACTCACACAAAAAGAGCATATAAAATCAATCGCAAAACGTTGGAACCAGGAACATGATAAGGCTTTTGCAGACATCAAACGTTTACTCAGCAAAGCACCTGTGTTATGTTTCCCTGACTTTACCAAAGACTTCGTGGTTCACGTAGATGCTAGTGAAGTTGGTGCAGGAGCATTCCTGGGCCAAAAGAACGGCGACGACGTGAATATTATCGCTTATTTTAGCCAACGATTTAACAAAGCTCGACGTCACTACTCTGCGACGATGAAGGAATGTTACGGTGTGGTCTTGAGTTTACAACACTGGCGACCCTACTTTTGGGGCAGACATTTCCAAGTTGTCACGGATCACGCGGCATTGAGATATTTGTACACTATGCAAGACACGTCTAATATGCTGACCAGATGGGCAATCGCTTTGCAGTCCTTTGACTTTACAGTGCGACACAAGCCGGGAAAGTTACATGTAGTCCCAGACACCCTATCGCGGTTGTTTGCGTTCGATCACCAACAACAGTTGGAAGCACCGCAACTTGCACCGATATGTAGGAATGTGCCTGATGACCCTGCGCTGCACTCGAATGTTCCATCACGTCCGTACCAAGTGTCTGCAGATCGATTGGATAACTTGCGACCGGTTCAAAGTGATCGCGAATTGTTCGCTGAGGAATCAGTTTATATTAGCGCGTCCAACGCATTTGAAACTATTAACCACGATATCTTGCGTGAAAAACAAGCTCTTGAATAT